TGATGCTTTGCCAAGCTTGTTCTAAGTAGGTGCTTTAGACCACTGAGCCATCTCTCCAGCCCTGTCATGGCATTTTAAACAGTAGGATTGGATTTGTCTCTGCACTGTTGAGGACTTTAGCCATCACCAAATGAAAATTTAACTTTTTTGTTTTGGTGGAACTGGGGATTGAACTCAGGTCCTTGCTCTTGCCAGGCAGGCGCTTATTCTACTGAGCCATCTCCCCAGCCCCGAAAATTCAACTTCTTTGTCCAGTGGGAGGTAGAGTCGTGGGGGAGCAGGCCAACCACCCATGGGCTTCTCTGTGCTCCGTGCTCTGTGCCCTGCAGGGGATGCGTGGCATTTCCCAGCAACCTCCTTGCCTCCACACCTCTCCCAGGTGGGTCCTCTGCCTGGTGTCTGAGGCGAGCAAGGCAGCAGGGCTGGGGCATCAGCACAGAGCATCTGGGGCTCTAGAGGGGGGCAGTCTGTGCAGTCAATGCACCAGATCCTCCAAGGGCCGTCTCCAGGGGCTGGATGAGTTTGGCTAGGTGACAGTTTCTCTCTCAGGTCTAATTAATTCATGAGCTTACTTATTTACAGATTGGGTTATTTTTTCTTTTTGAGATGGGGTCTTGCTATGCAGTCCAGGTTGGTCTCCTCGGCCTCCTTAGTACTGAGATTAGAAGTATGAAAGCTAGAAAGCAAACATTATTTGTTTATTTATTTTTATATGTTTGGTTGTTACAGGGTCTCACTATGCAGCTCAGACTCGTGGTGGTCCTCCTGCTTTCAGCCTCCCCAGTATGGGGCTTACAAGGGTGTGCCTCTACACCTGGACTCTGGCAGGCCCAGACTGCCCTGGGGGAGCGGGGCTGGCACAGCAAGTGGTGTCAGGGATGGAACCAAGGTCCCTGCCCTTGCCTAAGCAGGTGCTTTAGTCTGCTGAGCCATCTTGCTGGCCCTGAAAGCAAACTTTTATTTTATTTTATTTTATTTTTTGGCGGAACAGGGGATTGAACTCAGGCCCTTGCGCTTGCCAGGGAAGCGCTTATTCCACTGAGCCATCTCCCCGGCCTGAAAGCAAACTTTTAGGCACACACAAAGCCTCCAGAAGACAGAGTGGCTGGGGCAAAACTGCTGCAAACCAAAGGTTGTCAAAGACAGCCAGCAAATCACCAGAACTGAACAGGAGCCCAAACAGGTTGCCTCTCAGGAGCTCCCAGCAGCAAGCAGAGGTGGCTGGGCTCCTGCTTTGTATTTCTGCCCTGAACGGTGGGGGGAATCAACAGAGGTGACCTGTGCCACCCAGGCCCAGAGCCAGCACAGCCCCAGCCAGGGGCTCAGCAACCCAAACAAGCCACCAGGCACAGGGACCAGGGGGTTCCATCCCTGGGCCTGCCAAGCCGGCCTGCCCCCAGGGCGCACTGAGATGGCAACTGACACTGGGTGTGGTGGTGCGCCTGGGTGTGGTGGTGCGCGCCTGTAATCCCAGCTCTTGGGAGACTGTAAACAGGTGGATCGCTGCGAGTCCCATCTAGTAATGAGACCCTGAACACCCTGTAGACCCTTCCCTAAAATATAGGAAAAAAAAGTCACCAGTTGGGATGAAAAAAAAAAATAGAAAAACACTGAAATAAAGCTTTTGTAAATACGGTGGGAAAGAGGGGCTGAAAGGAGAGGAGGAAAGAAAGAAGCAGCAAGACATATGTGGACAGGCACAAATTTTCTAAAATGAGTGTTATCATTATGTGCATCTGAAATGTACCCGTATAATTTTTTTACAAAGATCATGCACTGTCCAGAGTCGAGTGACAAAACCTGCAGCTGTCACACTCAGTCCTGCCTGGGCTGTGAGTCTCCTCTTTGTCCAGAGAGGGCCCGTCAGGCCTGAGTGACCCTCACAGTGCTGCATGCTGGTGTCCGAGGGATCCTCGCTTACAGTCCCAAAACAGAAGCGGGAAGGACAGACAGACGCTGCTGCTGCCTGGGCTGGCATCACTCCAGGCATGGGGGCGCCTGGGGGAGGGGAGATGCCTGTGTTCACGCCCTCCTTTGCTCTCCTCGGCCCTCCCACCCCCCCCATTTCTCCCCAAACACAGACCCCCACCCCCGTAGTCGCTGTCCGTGTATTGAGCCAAATCTCAGGAGCTTACTGCCCGTGCGTGGCGTGGGGCTGCCACGCGGGCTGTACCCGCTCCGCACACACACCCAGCCAGCCGTTGAGGTAGGTGGAGCGGCTCCGCCAGCCTGGGCCCTCTGATACCGCTATCTAGGGGCAAGCCATCCCGCCCCACCTCACAGCCCCGGGCCTCGCGCCCCCTTCTCTCCTGTCTGCTTCCAGCCTGGCCCCGCAGCGCCCCCCATTCGCTCCAAGGCAGGGTCCCCGTCTCTGCCTGGGCCTGCTCCACACTCATGGCCCACAGGTGGCCTGAGACAACTTCAGGAAACCGTGTGGTCTCAGCCTGGACTCCTTTCTGTCCTCAGAGCTTCCAGGCCCCTTCCGTCCTAGCAGTGCCCCACAGCCTGGGGCTGCTCTCTGGCTGTTCTTCAGCCTCTCCAAAACACAGCTGGAGGGCGGGTGGAGGTCACTCCCCACCCTCCCCGCCCCCAGCCCGCCTGCACCCAAAGTCAAGGCCCAAAGTCCTAAGAGATGCTCACAGCTGCAGGCACACGTGTGTGTGTGTGTGTGTGTGTGTTCCAGGACAAGCCCAGGCCGCACAAAGGGGGCTCTGGGCCGCGCCCGCGGGGCCGGAGCGTGGACCTCGCCCCCCCCCATGTTCTAGCCGCCGTGTCCGGGTTGGGCAGGGCGGGGACGCGCAGACCTCGGCACGGGGCGGGGAAGGCGGCACCGCCCTCAGGGCCCCTCCCCAGGCGGACGGTGGCGGCAGCGACTGAGACCCGGCCACTCCGCCGCCCATGTCCTCCGCGCCGCCGCGCTCGCCCACCCCGCGGGTCGCCAGGATGAAGAAGGACGAGTCCTTCCTGGGCAAGCTGGGTGGCACGCTGGCCAGGAAGAAGAAGACGCGGGAGGGTGAGTGCGCCCGGTGGCGGGCTGCGACCCAGGGATCGGGGATCAGGGCACGAGCCCTGCTTGTCCCGGAACTCACGACCGGCCCGAGGTCTGCGACCCAGGCGCCTGTCACGCGCGCCGCTGTCCCGGGGCTAGCGTGGACGCTGCGTCCGCCCGGGCCCGGCCACGCGGGGTGGACACCAGCCCGGGCTCCGTGCGTGCGCCAGAGCGGGAGCAAGGCGGGGTCAGGGGCTCGGGGCCTGCGGGCCAAGGTCTGCAGAGGCCGCCGAGGATCTACCCTGTGCCCAAGGAAAGTATCCTCATACGTGGCAAACTTTCTCGGAGCTCCGAAGAACAGAAGTTGGGGCACACGCTCGGTTCGGGCGCGGCTGCCTCCCAGGCCGCCTTCCTGCCGTCCCATTGTCTGGCCGCTGAGCGCCTCCCTAGGGCGCTGCCTGGTGGCGACAGCTGCTGAAGGGGGAGCCCCGGGGCTGCCCTCAGGCCTGCCCTTGGGAAGCCTCCGGGCTGGGGGGTGGGGAGGGAGGGTCTGCCCACAGCCACCTGGGCCAGACTCCTGCCTGGGAAATCGTCCTGCACCCCGGGAGTGTGAGAGGTGTGCGCCCCCCAGACGCATGGGGTGTGTCCCTGTCCTGGCTGCTTGGCTGCTTGTGTTCTGCCTGATGCTTTTTGAATTTAGTGGAGGCACAGGTGCTAGGGCACGAAGCCCAGGAGGCAGAACAGCCCTGGCTCTCCAGGCCTCACTGCGGGGCACAGAGGAGCTCAGCAAGGCTATGCGGCACCATCTGGGGTCCAGGCGTCCACTGTCCTTTACAGCAGCAGCCCCAGGGGAATCCCTGGCTTTGCGCCTGCGCCTTTCCAACCCTGTCGCTGGGGCTCCCAGAGAGGCTCCAAGTGGCTCTGACATTATTCTGCTGGCTGCTGTGTTCTGTTTGCATCTCCTAAGCAAGAGGGTGGGTGACTGTCACCCTCTGCCATCCGTCCCCATTCTTTAACATCACTTCTTCCAAGCTGACATCATCCTTGACAGAAACCCTTTCGCTTCCTCTTTGTGTTGTGGGGCAATTACAGATTTAAATGATGTCCCCTCTCAGTTTGTTTCAATCTGGTTCCTTGGGTTTTTGCTTTGTTGTGTTGCCCAGTCTGACCTCAAACTCCTGGGCTCATGGGATCCTCCTGCCTCAGCCTCCTGTTGCGTGTCTGCTGTGGTCCTTGGGGCGGTCACAGAGTCCCAGAGAAGTGAAGTTTGTGCTGGGACCAGAAACAACCACAGGAAGAGATCTTTACTGAAATAGCAAGGACAGGGGATGTCGATGGCTTTTTATAGGTGATATCTCCACCCTTGCAGTAGAAAGGACTCACCCCAAAGTAATGGCCTGGGCTCAGGTTCCAGAGCAAAGAGCCTCCACCGCAGGATCGCAGGATCGTGGGCAAGCCTAGTCCCCTCCCTCTGTGGGTTAACTGGGCCCGGTCCCCATTCTCAAGGTTAGGGTGCCTCACAGGAAGGCAAGATCACGACCCCTAATTGGGCTCATTGACTAGAACTGAGGGCAGGACTGGCGCCTGGCTTCCCCAGGTCCTCTGGGAAGTGGGCGGGGCTGAAAGCAAGGCTTGAATAATTGAGAGCAGGAGTGCGGCTCCGCGTGCCTGTTGCCTCGGCAACCTGCCCTCTAGCTTTAGCTCCAGGCCTGAGCTCTGCTCCTTTGCCTAGAGGGGCAATGGTGGCTGGGTCCCGCTCCTCCTCGCCCACTTCCTCCTTTGTTAGAAAGCCCAGGAAGCAGATGGACCGCCCATGCTCACTGCCTGGACCTTGGAAGGAGCGAGAGGAGGAAGTGGCAGGTGAAGGTCAAACTCTGGAGTCCACAGGCCCCTGACCTCACCATGACGAGGACAGGGGAGGGACAGACACTCGGGCTGCCCCCTGACAGGGAGCTGGCAGTGGGAAGGAGCCTGTAGAGTTTAAGGAACCAGCACCGGAAGTGCCCGAGAGTGACCTTCATGTGGTGGCCTGGTCCGAAAAGGGAACTGTGACCTCAGGCTAGTGGAAACATGAAAGGGGGCGCTTCAGACCCCCAGAGCGCCCCACAGACAGGCTGGGACACCCCTGAAGACTTCAGAAAGCCTACCAGCCTTGTGAAGATGGCGGCAGCAGGTGCAGAGGAGGATCCCCGTTTGTGGCCTCACAGGCCCAGCGGGCCAGGGTGTGGCCGGGGACAGTCGCAGCTGCTGACAGTTGTCAGTTGAGGCCCCTGTGAGAAGGAACCAGGGCAGTCGGCCTGGCCTGTCCTCTGAGAAGCCCCATCCGCTGCTGGATGTCCCTGGCCAAGTATGCCTTGCTGTGCCCAGATGCCAGTGACCGGTGACAGCGCCAGGGCCTCTTGGAGAGCCGAGACCACCAGAGCCAGTGCAAGACCCCACAGAACAGGCTCTGTAGTCCTTGGAGAGAAACCCTAAAATGTTCCTGTTCCCAGGTGCCCTGAAAAGGACATAAGAATGATCTCAGACCTCTGCAGGGAGCCTGAAGCTGAGATGGATCCCATGTGGGAGGGCAGGAGGAGGCCTCCCTGCCTAAAGCGGTCAGGCTACCTCAGTCTTGAGAAAAATATCCTGCCTGGACACTGGGCTGTTAGTTGCTAGGCAACCTTGTGTCTTGTAACTTTGCAAAGGTGTAAATAAACTCCCCTACTATTGCTCTGGGGTCCTTTGCCTGTCAGGCTTGGTCCACCACCTGACCTCAGCTATTATCTCTTGCCTTTATTTTCTAAATCCTGTCACCATTTTCTCGCAGGGACCACCAAGAGACCCACAGATCCCTACAGACTACTCCAAATGATAGAGAGAAATACTTTAACTCCTACCCTACCAGATGTCCCACACGCTGAGTTGGTGTTCCCCAAAATCGAAGAAGGGAATCTGAGGAACAGGGGAGGTTAAAGAGTAGCAAGTTTTATTGAGGGAGAGACACCTCCAGAGAGACAGGAGAGGGACTGCGAAGTGAGCTGCCCACGAGCCTGCTTCTCAGCAGAAGTTCATGGGCTGGATTCAACGTGGGAATGGCCAACCAATAAGACCACAAGTTCAGCCACTTAGGAATGCTGGTCCAGTGGTGCAGCGGGTCACGTACCGAGTGTGCACGGAAAGAACAGGAGCTTGCCTGGAAGGGATGGGTTGGGAGGTCGCAGTCACCCACCCGGGTGATGACGTCCCTCTAGAATATCCTTCCCTCAAGGCGGTATGAGGTGTAGTCAATCTGCCTTTATCCCGAGGCTTGGCCTTCAACAGATGCTTGTGTTCTCTGACTCCCTCAAGGGCCCGGCCTTGTTGGGCTGCTTAGAATATTTCTGTCGAACTCTGCTGTCTGTGCTAAAAACACAGGAACACACACTGCTCTAGGAGTTAGATGGAAAGACGTCTAGTGGCAGAACGCTTGCCTTCCACAGCACACTGCCCTAAATCCCAAGACCCCTGAGAACACCTAGAGGGGTGTGTGGTTTAATTTCACCCTGCCAGGCAGGGGCTCCGGCCAGCCTACAAATGGTACCCCAGATTTTATAGCAGAGAGGACACAGGCTCCCCCTGAGTGCGTCCCAGGAGCTGGGGGCGCTGATGCTGTCCCCCAGGGCTGTGCAGGGGCTGCAGATTGCAGCGACTTTGCCCACAGGCACAGGCTGTTATCCCAAATGTCACTTTGTGCCCTGGGGAGACCCCCTGCTGTTCTTTTCTGAAGCATCTTAACCAAGGAGAGGCACAGGACACAGCTCAGTGGCAGCATCGAGACTGCGTAGCAGGGGCTGGTGAGATGGCTCAGTGGTCTAAAGCACCTACTTAGAACAAGCTT